AAGATAAATTTTGCTAAGAGCAATAAACTATAGGAAGTTGTGGAGAGCCATGATTGCATATGTCCTGAAGTGATATGACATATAAAATATTTACTTGAGAAGCAGTATTCCAAAAGGGACAACATAAAATGTTCTGCTTCATTCTATCAAGAATCTTACTGTGACAGACTACTAAAAGGTAGGGTTCTTGGTTTTTGATAAATTATTAACACTAGAAATACCCATAAAAATTTCATGGTTTTCCAAGTTGAATTTTCTGATGAGACTTAATTCTTTAGTTAATGATTGAGTAAGCTCATGGTGAGTTTTACCACAATAAAATATTCATAGAAATTCCTCTGATGCATCAATAAATATTTGAGCTTAACAACTTTAATAAAATATTGCAATAACAATCATAAATATGGATTATAGTCATTATTGAAAGAAGTAAGGGGGTACAAATGAAAAGATTTGAAATTGACAACTTTTTCCATTTCACTGAAGTAGATGTTAATCACTTCTGTCTGCCCTTTCTTTCTCTTTCATTTTTTCACTGAAACCAAGTAGCATATTTGATATGTCTTTCCATGAGATCAAAATTTCCATGAGCTCAAAATGGAATATTTATGAGGTATTGATCATACTAAATAAGGGAGGGACAAGCAGAATTATAAGATTTTTTTTTTAATGCTGTCTCTTCAGGATCTTGGTCATATCCATAGATTCCCTTTTCTTATCTGTTAATTGCCAATTCATCTTAAGAAAAAAAAAGTTGAGTGGTTTTCCATTGCTTTCTTGATGGTTTGAAATTCAGTATTCTCCTTCTTTGACCAGGCTAAAGAGTCCAGTCTACACTACTATTTAACATATTTAAGTTGGGACTTAACATATAGAGAATATTAAAATTGGTAACAGCAGGTTTTTAACCTCAAAGCTGTAACACTTAACCATCCCATATCTTTTAAAGTTATGATTTTCTGTAAGATTTTTGTGTGGGAAGCAAACAAATTATGTATGTAATTGTTAGGAAGTCTTCCGTAGGCATATGTATTTTAATTGGTAATTTCATAGTCAAGCTTCTCAAATTATCATGTTTGTTTTGAGGGCAAGAAATGACTGAATAATTTCCATATGGATTGCTACTGCTGTTTAGGATTGGACTATGTTCTGTGTATACTATCTCGGAGCAGTATATATTAGTAATCTGTGTTGATATACTGACAAATATATATATATATGGATGTACATTGGTCAGTTAAATTTAGTTTACAAGATTTAAGAGAGAAGTCAGTCTTGACAAATTATAAGAAGAACCTGTATCACTTGTCCTTTGTTATTGAAGATAAGGGATTTGGTTTGAAGCCAAGATTGATTTTGATGTGTCACATTAGTCATGTAGAGCAAGAAGGGATTTTCTTGGATTGGCAGTATAAAAAAGGAAGAACAGAGGTATCAAAATCACCTTTCCCCTTCTCACCCTCTTTTTTTCTACCTTGTCTTTCTCCTTTTCTACCTTGTCTTTCTCCTTTTCTACCTTGTCTTTCTCCTTTTCTACCTTGTCTTTCTCCTTTTCTACCTTGTCTTTCTCCTTTTCTACCTTGTCTTTCTCCTTTTCTACCTTGTCTTTCTCCTTTTCTACCTTGTCTTTCTCCTTTTCTACCTTGTCTTTCTCCTTTTCTACCTTGTCTTTCTCCTTTTCTACCTTGTCTTTCTCCTTTTCTACCTTGTCTTTCTCCTTTTCTACCTTGTCTTTCTCCTTTTCTATCTTGTCTTTCTCCTCTTTTTTTTCTCTTGACATGACTACTAAAGTAAAAAAAAAAGCAATCTTCCTAACTTATATAAGTTGTATTTTTCAGACATTTTATGTAATTTCTATTGCCACAAAAAAGATTGTTGAAACTTACATAGATATTTTTTATGTTCTGCTAGAATTTAAGGTAAAAAAATCTAGCACATGATTCAAAGCTTACCAAATGCAACATACCCCTGAAAGAGACTGAAGAATTGAATCTTTAAAAATTGTCTTGAAAGATTTTACTAGTTCAAATAATTTATGTGCAGTAAAAAAAATTCTATATTGTTTTGAATTTGGCAGATGAAGGATTACATTGATGAGTATATTGTAATTAACGGTGGGGGGGGGGTTGCTTTTGCTCAGCCACATGCAATTATGGTTATGGGCAAGGGAGAAAACGTATCATCATGGACTGGAACAGTGCTAGCTTATTAAGCATAATTTAGTCTGGCACAAGGCCAAAGTAATGGAGCACCCAGAATTGATAGAATTCTCAGAGGCAGACAAATTTTCTAACCATGCTGTACTAGTCCTTTCTATATACATTGATCAGTAATGGCTTGTATACTTAGAAAATTGAATTCGTAGCTTCTTCTACTGCAAGGAAAGTTTAAGATTTTTTTTTTCTCACCTGAGTCCATCTTTCAAATCTACCATTTGTCCTTGCATTTAATATTGTTGCCATATATGGTTTGGTGCCCCTGAGGTCCTTGACAAAATACAGACAGGTATGCAATGTGATAGGTCCTGATCTGGCATCTTGTCTACAGTCACAGTCTCACAGACGTGCCGTAGCTTCCCTCTGCCTTTTGTACAAGTATTTCCATGTCAACTGCTCCGATGAGCTACTTTCACTTTCATGCCCCATCTGCATGATTTAAGCATGTTCCTAGGTTAGCATCTCTGTCCCACCCTTTCACTGTCAAAACAGTTAAATGTATCCATCTCTTCTGCTCTAACAGCTTCTTCTCTCGCACTTCCTAACAGTGGAACTCCCTTCCTCTTACTTGCTTCCCTGATAACTATAATCTTCAAATATAATGTCAATCGACATATTCTGAAAGCCTTGTTCCTGATCTGCGTTCTTCTCTATATCCTTTCTTCAAACACCCCACTTGCTCTCACTCTCTGTAACCCCTCGCCGGAGAGTGGCACTCCTGCCTTGCTTGGGGTGAAATGCTTAAAAAAAACAAACAAAAAAAAACTACTTGTACCTTGATCAGTCATTTGTAATTAGCATCAACAAGTGAGGTTTGTTATAAACCAAAAATATATGTAAATTTGAAGTTTATGTGCTGTGAAATAGTAAAACAATTGGTTTTTATGCTTCTTTGTTTTTCATGAGAGAAAACACAGTGGAAACCTGTTGACATTAAAAATTAAATACAGGAGGGCATTTTTGAAATGAAGTATTTTATTACATATAATTTGGACTAGCATTTTCATTTTTTGGAGTTTTTATTATGAAAAGAAAAATAAAGACATTCAGTTAATATGTATAAAAATAGAATTAATACTTATAAGCAGTAATCATTCTTCTATATGGTGTCTCTCTTCAGGATGTGGATGATGATGGTCCCCCACAACTTCCTATCTCTTGTAGCTCTTAATCTTTTTTTTTTTCTATACCTCCTGATCCTTTGTTCTGCCATCCATTCACACAATCTGGTCATGTCAATGGACTTGCCTCCCATTCTTCCTTTGCTTTCAATATGTCCTGTGACTGTCAAATTCTCCAAGCTATCTTTCCTCATTATATGTCAAAAGAAATTTCAACTCTTTTAGTTCTGTCTGTAAGTCTATATATCATTTTTTTTATTTTATTTTTTTAAGCATTGTGTTTTTTGTTTTCATTTTCCTTAAAACTTCATTGTTGCTTACATGCTTTATCCATGGTATTCTCAGCATCCTTTTGTAGAAGCACATCTCTGTTTCTACAAGTTTCCTCTTCATCTTAGAAAAAATTGTTCAGTATTTACTACCATGTAGGAGGATTGATATTACATAGCAGTTCAGTACTCTTTACTTTGTTTCTAATGAAACTTTCCTGTTACTTAGTAATTTGCTTAGCTTTTGGAAAGCATCCTTTGCTAATCTTACTGAAAAAAATAATGGCTTAAAGTATATATTAGATGTGTGCAAAAGTTCGCAGCACCCTCTCTTAAATAAATTTAAAAAAAAAAAAAATTAACCATTGGCACCCAGCATTATTAATATTACTCCCCTTTCCACTGCATTCTTTTTCAAGGCCTCTCAATTGCAGTAACCTTATTGTTAATTTCACTCTCAGTTGTTTTCTGTTGCCATAGCAGGATATGACAACACAACTATGAAATTCAAACATACTATTGTTCAGGGATCAGTCAATTTCAGTGGCAGGATAAACTTTTTGTATAACAATGATGAATGTTAAGCTTCCAAAATTTGATTTTTTAGTAATTAAAATTTTTCTGTCACAGCAATATTTATTTTAGTAATTGACTGACACTTGGTGAAGGATCAGTAATGATAAAAACTATGACCTTGCTTGAGGTAAAGTACAATTGGCACTAAAATAGGGTCCTTACATTTCACTTTTCTTGCATTATAAATTACCAGTTCTTAAATCTGTTAAGAATTTAACTATTTCTGCAGAACAAACTTGAATGTTAAATTTCAAAGTTTCCAAAAAGGAATTGCCTCTAAGTTATTTTCTCATTATAAATGGTATATAAATAAAATTGTAGAAAAATGAACTGGAAATCTTAGATATGCAGACAAAAAAATAAATTTCTAGACGTGAATGTTATGTGTATCAGGTTCTTTTCATTTTTGGCCTAAATCTCTTATTTCATATTTTCTTTAAACTTTCTCAGGATTCTTTACCCATGCGCACAGCTATTTTTGTAATTTTATAATCATGGAAGTTTTAAATGACAACTGTTTGGTTAGACTTGAGAAAATATAAGTAATGGTTCAGAAACAAGGATATATCATATGGATGTATCCCTGTAAAGTAAAACCCTGTTTCTTTCTGCTAATTGAAATTTTAAAATAAAAGCTGTGAAGGTAGAAGGATTATTGCCCTGTTTGTTAATACTTTCCTTTTTAACATGCTAGAATGTCATTCTGAGTTTGATTTCTTTTGTTTTGACTGGGAAGATACCCAGAGAAAAATGTCTTTTACACTGCAATATTACTTGGTCTTATCATTACAGCTCGTCATGATACAGGCTGCTTACTCTGCAAACACCGCTTCTCGTAGGTTCACCAAAGTTAAGCAATATCGAGCCTGATCAGTACCTAGATGTATGACTACTTGGGAATACCAGGTGCTGCAAGCTTCAATATGTGGGCAGTGTAATAGATAACAGCTCAAAATTGAAAATCAGAGAGCAGAGTTCTAATTCTGGTTGGGTTCGTTATATTCACTTAACATACAAATACTCTTGGGAAAGGTATGAATCCTCTTTTTCTCCCCCAGTTAAAATCCCTACCACTACGCCATCCTGGATATGATGATAAACTACATCCAGCAGCAAGGCCTCTGATTGGGAGGTTTTTAGGATGGTGGAGCAAAGAGTGTTAACATCTGTTAGGGTCCCACTTATGGGCAAATAGTTACCCCCCAAACTAAGGTCAAAACACTAGGAAAGTATAAAAATACGTTTTTATAATAAAAAAATACCAGCAATACATTTTCATAGTAAAAAAAAAAAATTACTAGCAATACATTTTTGTAAATGAAATTACTAATGCTTGCAAGAAAATTAAATTTTGGTATTAAATAACCTATGTAGAGTTGATATCCCATGAAATAAACCATCACTACTACCATAATCCTCAAAATATTATTATATATATATATATATATATATAATGCTTTTGAATATTTATTTACTATAGATGTAAATTTAGTTACTAAGTTTGACTCTGCACAAGGCCACAATACTAGTGGAACACAAAGTGAGGATTAAACTCAGCTCTAGTAAAGCTTTATAAGAGTTAGCTCAGACCAAAAATGGAATATTGTTACCATATATACACTGGAACTGTCCAGTCATCACTTTCAAGCCTCAACAGAGTTTGTGGCCTTGTGGAGGATGCTTTATTTTCAACCCTAACCCTAGCTCTTTCTGACAGATGAAATGTTACTAGTCTCTCAATACATTACCATTATTTTCATGGCAAATGTTTAGATAAGAGTTACATTCCTTAGTTCCATCAGTTCTGACATTTATAGGTAGGACATGCCATTCCACATACACAAGATTGAATCATCCTAATTCCTTTTATATTCCATTGGTAAGGCAGAAGTTTCATTCAGACAGCTACTTCTTGTAACATACCGTAGGTTGCCAACCCCAAAAAGCCTTGTAAGTGAAATTGGATAGACTGAACTTTTTGGAAGCTTTCAATGGTTGTGCTAGTCAACGTGACCGAGGGTTTGAGCACACTGACCGTGTTCAAACTGTTGATCATGTCACATTATGCACTCTTTCTTTCCAAGAAACTGTAACAAACATCCACTCAACTTAGTTGTAGGATAAACCATAGGTTGGCTTTGTGTGTGACAAAGAAACAAATGTGCCTGATCGGGTATCTACAATGGGTACTGGCTAGCCACACAAGCTGACAAATGTACTCAGAAATGAGTAATCAGCCATTTTACACACACACACACACACAGTGTGCGATAGATAGATTGTTGTAAATGTTCTGGGATTGCAAAGGAAATATGTCGCAGATTACTTCCACAACGCAGAGAATAAATCACTGTAAGTTCAGACTCAAACATTGGGGACAGGAAGAAATGCTGAAAACTCGATTCGCAGGTACTATCTCACAAATCACAATGCACATAACCAGTCAGAAAAATAACTCACTCTCCAGCAACTGTGGAAGCCAAAACACCCAAATTTTGCTCCCCGATTTGAGAACACTATAATAATAATTCTTGTCTAAATGATGCAAAAAAAAAAAAAATAAAAATAACACTGACATCTCATTTTAACATATATTTACCAAAATTACACAAAAAACATCATCATTGGTTTCAATGACGGCCTCCAGATGACTTTGAAATCACCTGCAAATCTTCTGGACACTTTCCTGGTTTAAGTTGTTGAATGCTGCCATAATCCTTGCCTTCAGTTCATCTTCGGTTTTTTAATTTTGCATATGCACATTGTTTGTTTTTTGATTTTGTCGGCTGCATAGTATAGTAGTGTCAGTTCGGAATTGTCTGTGAGGAAAAGATCACCATTACACAATTGACTCCAACAGAACTTTGGAAACAGCATGCTGTACTGCTTGGCATTCACATTGGTAAGCTCTAATACGAACATTTCAGTGGGTTTGTGTGTCAATCTGAGGACAGTGCAGAGGATTCGGAAAGAGTTGGATGAGTCTAATGGGGATTACGATGATGTTTGGAATTGTCACTAGTGATGGCAACATCATGCCTCCATTCATGTTCGCACAGGGCCTCGGACTAAACATGATCTACATCAGGTGCCTTGAGGAGGTAGTGCTGCCCTGGGTCAAGGGGGTGGCTGCTGGAAGACTCTGTCTACCAACAGGGCTTTGCACCATGCTACACAAGCAGGAGAACCCAGACTTTAGCCCCTTGATTACTATTGGACAATTTTGCTGTTACACCTGGTGTGTGTGTATATATATATATATATATGTGCACACACACACATATATATATATATATATATATATATATATATATATATATTAGACAAGCTGATTAAATAACTGAAGTTGTCTTAACTGAAGTTTGTTTCTTTGTTACTTGAGTGACAAAATGTTTCTTCTAGAATAGCCATAAATGATTGACTAATTTTGGCCACAATCACTACAATTGTGACCATTTTCAACACTTAAGTATCCACTTAGCATGCTCTCATTTTTGAGAGACTAAATGCATTTTCTTTTTTTCCTCCTAAATGTTGCATTTTAACTGTATTCTCCCCCACCTCATCTCCTCTCCTTAAAAAAAATTCTCTCTGCCGAATGAGTTAGGTGTATATTTAATCTCTAACCAGGCTTAAGTGTGACTATTAATGTGGAACTGTGCAAAAGCCACTTTTTTTTTTTTTTTTTTTTTTTTTAGTTTTACTTCTATCACTTTGTATCAATGCTTTCCCTTTTATTTTTTTTCTCTGCCACGCTGCCTCGCTTGCATCTCAGTTTCCAACTTGGACAGTTTTTTCTTGAGATAAAATTTCAAGTGATAACAGTGCTTGGATGTTAGGATTAATTTATTGGAAAAAATTTGTAATAGTAGAAGTATTTTTAGAAATAAGACACCATTTAATCAAATTTTTAAAAAAAAAACACTTTATGAATAAATGAGATGTTTATGTAATCAGTCTTAGATAGGAGAGGTAGTATTTATTGAATGTCAACCTTTCATTCTAATGATTACATTGTGACCCTCTGCAAATATGAGAAGTGTATATTGAAAAATATTTCTATATTGATTTGATTGTTTTTCATGTTTTATCAACCCTTTGCAGGCCAGAAAATATTTTTAGAACATAAGAATTTTTTTTAGAAATAATGACTTACTATTTAACCCATACTTGGGGTATTATGTTTGGGATTCATACATTTCCTGAGGATATTTGTAAACTGAATATAATAAACCAGGCTGGAATTTGAACTTGGCTTTCTGATTTCCCATTTTGAGCCATCATCAATTCTGTACCTCCAAGCTTACAGCACTTGATATTCCCAAATGGTCACTCATCTAGGTACTGACCAGGCTTGACTTGGGTTAACTTTGGTGTTCATAAAAGAGCACGTGTTTCAATGTGATATGGCTGTAAGCTCATTATCGAATCTGCACATCTAAGCTTACAGCACTTGATATTTCCAAGCAGTCACCCATCTAGATATTGACCAGGCTCAATGTTGCTTAACTTTGAAGATTACACAAGCACCAGTGTTTCAATGTAATATAGTCCTAAGCCCATTAAACCACTTGCACATCAAATCTTACAACACCTGGTATTCCCAAGCAGTTACCCATCTAAGTAATGACCAAGCTCAACATTGTTTAATTTTGGTGATTGTATGTGGTATGACCATAAGCCTCAAAGAATTCTATATTTGTGAACAGATCTGATCAGCATGATATGAATTCAAAAAGTTGACCATTGTCTATTCATTAAAATTCTGCTCAAAAATATAAACAGAAAATTAATTTCAGAGGTATGTCAAGAAGGTATATTTTCACTTGCCTCAGAGAAAGTATGGACCTACATTGCCCTAAACATATATTGGTTTGTGATGTAATAGAATAACCAGTCACTCACATGAATGATTACACTATAGGTAGTAAGTACCTATAAAGTTGACCATCTACGAGAGACTCAGAGAAAGTGAGAGCGAGATGACGCAAACACGTTTGACTTTCCAATTAGTGGCACTCACTACTAGATTGACCTGTATGTATAACTGTACCGTATTTCATATTGTACTTGTTGTGTACAATAAACCTTCTTCTAGTATCCACCTGGTGTTATGTGTTTATTCCCTTAGCACGGAATATGACGTTTTGATTCTTCTTAAAATTCAGCTAATTAAAATCGTTTTTTCAGTTACTGTGATCTCAATATTTTTCTGACATTTTTTCCTCACTTGATGGGAAAGTTTGCTTTTCTGTTAATTTGTTTTTTCCTTAGGTATTTTTTAAATATATCAAGAACAAAAATACTGTATAATGGATTGACTGAAATGTGGATACAACAAAACAACACTAAGATTAAGAATATGTTCCGATGTTTGGACATTTTTATGAACAATGAATATTTTTAAGATAGTTAATTAATACACTTTGGCTTATTCAAACTATTGTTCTTATCTCTGATTGTTTTGATGTTATAAACATTTCAGCCAAGTCTATATGGCCATCTTCTGGTTTATCATACAGGTTATCTTATTTTTACTACTTCAAATGTTATTTTTAGTGGATAACTGTATGTGAGTAGAAGTAGATACTCTATTTATTTAAAAAGTATTTAATTCATTTACCAGCCTATGTACCCAAGAAAACTTAATAAAGAAAATGTGCCCTCTGGCAGAATTTGAACCTGCACCCTCCTTTGCAGGAGCAACTACTATCTGATCTGGCATGCTTTGACCAACCAGCTGATGAATTAGTCTCAAACCTACAGCCATTCTCTCTCAATTTTTTTTTTTTTTTTTTTTTTTTTTTTCAAAGTTGCTGTTGGTATCAAGATAAATATTTAAATTCTTGAACAAGATTTTTTTTGAGTGGTACAGGAGGTCATAACCAAGAAATTTTAAACTAAAGAGTAGATTCATATAAGTCAACACTCTTTTATTCTACAATGTTGTCCAAAATATTTTTTTCATACAGACTAAAAGAATGAAATGGCACCCCAGCCACTTCAGATATTAATTTAATAGAAAATTTGTGGTCTATCATTAAAACAGATACATATGAAAATCGAATTAAAAAGCAATAAAAACTAAAAGGTAATATTAAAATCAAATAAATAGAAAAGTTAATAAAATCAATGGCAAAAAATTGATGAAGGTTATAGAACATCCAGAATAACGATAAATTCAAATACAAGTGTATTTTGTGAATTGGTTTTTATGGCTTACATCTTTTGGATTGATTTCTAAATAAAAATTTGTTGCAATTTGTTTGGATAATAAAAAGCTGACACTCAAAACAAATTATATTTTTAATCATGATAAATTTCATCAGCTGTAACTTGTGCTGTATAAATTAGCCATGTAAATATTATATCCTGAATAATAAAAGCTGCTATTGTACGTGTGTAATATATATATATATATATATATATATATATATATATCCTTTTTTTATGTATACGTGATACTTGTACACATAAACGTGCCTGGTCATGTATGTGTGTGTATATATATATATATATATATATATAAAACAGCCTACTTTTGTTGGACTAATTTAAAATCCAACAGACATTGAACAGCTTGTATTCTCTCAATATCTGACAAAGCTTTAATAAAAGTGATATACGTTTCCTATTTGTTTTTTTACTTTATCATCCTGTCAGATTCCGATGCATATTTGATCTTTAACTCATATATATATATATATATATATATATATATATATATACATACAGACAGACACTCTCTTGAGTCTGGCCATGGATATAAGGTAATTAAATTTATGCCACCCCCCCCACCTCAGAGATCCTAACATTTTTCCTCGTCTGCAGTTTTATCTTCCTTTAATTCTAACCTGAAGAAGCCAGAGAGAGCAGACGCTATCCACGTAACGTAGCCTTTCTATTTTGTCCCATTATCTTCAATTTTGCTTTAGATGCTATTATACATCCTGCAAACACACACAGTTGCATTATCTCTCTCTCGATAATTTTTTCAGAAATAAACTTTGTGGATTAACGTGTGTGGGCGTAAAAGACAGTTGGAGACATGGATTAAATTTGCCAAAATGATTTAATAAGAATCGACCACATTGAGTCCTGTTTTGTTTGCACCTTATATTAAATTTAGTAAATATTTATTCGCTTACCTGTGTATGCACCTATATATACTGTTGCTAATATGTAGTTATTTGATTTATCCACACACACACACACATATATATATATATATATATATATATATATATATATTTCATTGTCTTGTTCCATTAATATTTTTACTTAAATCTTTCAATACATTGTATGAGAGAGGGAGCAACAATCTAGCGGTGACTGCTGCTAACTGCAGCAGACCTTGCACAAATTTAGCTGAAATCAATTTCTTCTTCCACAGACTTATTATACAACACAGAAATGGCAAATCTGTTAAAATGCTGATGTCAATAATACTATTGTCATTTGCTGACATGGATCCGAAAATGTGTTCCAGATAAAAGTCCAAGGATAGTGATATCCATGATTAGACCATTTCCTGCAGTTCAAGAAAATGTCAATCAATGCCGTCGGAAAATCCTTATTTCTGCTGTGCTTTCTTCCTATTGAGAGGAGTTACGGAAATGTCTGAAATAGTTAATTGAATTCTGACAAAAATGTGTTGAGGATAACCTACTGGTCGATTTAAAAAAAAAAAAAAACTAATAAAATAATTTTGACTGCTCAATATATTTGTCCGATTTCATATTTAGTACATGTCTTTTGTTATATTGTCTGGTTATGTTAGGCATTACCTGCTATACAAGATGGATATAGTATGTCTTATATATCAGTGGTTACCTATTCCTGGGTATAATGATAAACTACATCCGGCAGCAAGGCATCTGATCAGGAGATTGAAGATTTTGAGGACCGTGGAACTGCCTCTTGATTGCTATTGTTCCCTGGTCCATCCTGGGTGGCAGCACCTGTTAGGGTCCCAGCTATGGGCAAATAGTGAATTCCCAAACAAAATACTATGAAAGTATATAAATACATTTTCATAGTAAAAATACCAGCAATACATTCTTATATGAAAAATACAAACAATACCTATTTATAGTAAAATTACTAACAATACATTAATCAACATGAAAGAACTTTCATACCATTAATCCATATAATATGCTACAATTTCTTAAAGAAATCAAACTGTATTCTAAAATATAACTTCAACAAAACTACATAAAACACACATATCATTGCCTCTAGTAATCAGATCTACACAAACATGGATATGCACAAATGCTGAGTATCAACTACCATGTATTCTATTGTGAAAGCAGAGTAACATTTTTATTACCTCAAAGCTCCCAAGAAAATTAAATTTTGGCATTAAATGGAGTAAGGAGTTGATATGCCATTAAACAAACATATTCTGTTTTTCCTATCCACACCACTTTATTAACGATTGTCAATTGAATATCTGGGAGTTGCAACACAAAGCAAGAAGAATAATTTGATAGAAATGCCAGTCAAAAGTTGACACGTCAAATACTATTAAAATCATAGCAACATTTGATTGCAGTTCTCTTCTTTGATTGCAGTTCTCTTCTTTGATTGCAGTTCTCTTCTTTGATTGCAGTTCCCTTCTTTGATTGCAGTTCTCTTAAATGTTATTACTGTTTATCTTCCTTTTGTAATAAAATCAAAAGTTTTCCTTTGCTGATCATTATTTTTCTTTCTTTTTTAGGTATGTCGATTTTTGGTGTTTGCAAAGTACAATGATCAAGTAAGGAAAAGTCTTCTTCTAAGCAATATTGATAAACTTTGAATTATTTCCCTTCATTATTTTAACTTGTCTCATGTAATGCTACTCAAAAGTACAGTAAATTTAAACAGCATGGACAAACTGAATGTAGTAGACTTTTACTGCTACTTTTTGTGAGCAGCACATTTTGTAAGCAAATATACTAGAGATTACTTCAAAGGAGACAGTGTAAAATCAGGTGTTAGAGATGCTACAGTTTTTATTTTATTTATTTTTCTCATAGTCAGAATGTGATGGGATAGAAAGGTTTAGTATTGTATAGGACCTCTCTTCTAACTTGGCAAATGGCAGCAATTTAAGGTAGCATAGATTCCACAAATGGAAAACATTTAGAAAGATGTTTTACGTTATGAAATGGAAAAAGTCCAATTATTTTTTAAGACATTTTTTATGTTTATACATTCTTTTTATAGATACAAAGATTTAAGTAAATACTCTGTTTATAATAAACAGTATTAACAACATTTACCAGCCTGTGGTAATGAATTTATTTATTAATTTTAACAAAATGCAAAGCTGTTGCTATGATGTGTTGCATTTTTACAAAATGCAAACCTGCTCATCTGTTTGCTATTTTTTTTTTTTTTTTTTTTTTAATTTATCCAAACCAGA